TGTCTCATTTTAAGATGCACTTGTGAAATTTCTTTTTTTAGCTAATAAATAGTGTGACAGAATGAAATTTAATCTTTCACTTTTTTATTATTCTCCAGCAAGTGTGGGAAAAGTCAAATAAACTGGTTAGTTTTCTCATATGTGAATTCCTTTACATCTTAAAAAGTTGGTGTCATTTGCCAGTATTGAATAACCTTTGTGAATTTTGATACTATTTTGAAACAGAAAGAAAATATGGCTTTCACACACTAGATCCTGTCTTTTTTCACTGGAAGATTTTATACTAATCATTGCAGTACAAATTTTTGTTTTTTACAAATTTTACAAAAATGTGTTCTAAGAGTTACTAGAGTAGTGCAAAGCGCTGATTCTTGTTGCTGTTTTGTTACACAAAGGCAACCTGCACAAAATCGTAACAGGACAGTCTTTTCAATTTCTAGTTTTACTAGCTTCCTTACCTTCCTCTTAGCTTTCTAACAACATATAGTCTATTACACCCTGGCATAGGATACAGACAATGATATATACAACTATATGGTTGTGTATGTCAAATGTCAGTAAGATGAGAATAAAATAAGCATAGAGCAGCTGATGTTTAAGCTGAGAAAGTAAAAGATGTGAAGTACTATTTACTTTATTTGAAAAATGTCACATTGTACAAGTGTTCTTCATAGTTGTTACCATTGTGCTGCTCTCCATTTAGAGAAGGCAAATTACTCTCTACTTGAATGCATTTGTTATGGAAACTTTCCTTTGCAGCTCATGTTGACATTGAAATTCAAATGTCATTGCTGACTGATGTGTAAGGGATGAGTAAGGGATGAAGAGAAAAAAAATTTAAACACAGTTCACTAGCTCAGTGCCTAGTGTTCTGTTCCACTGCCCAGGATGAAAAAAAATAATAATAATAAAAATTATAAATGAATAAAGAAAGAAAATAAAAGAACATAGAAGAGGAACTGAAAGGCAAAAAAAAAAAAAAAATCAATGGAGGAACACTCATAGTCAAAATTTAGGCTTTCAGCCAGCCATCAAATTGATTTGATATGGATTGGGTCCAAGGACCAAATACGAAGATGAAGAATGGACTTTCCTCTCAATTATATAATCCTGGGTAATACTGCCTGGGAAATAGAAAAGGAAAGTCGTCATAATGTTTTATTTTTGGAATGACTTAAAAGCATGGGAAATCAGTTCATAAGAATAAATAAATGCAAATTGCTGCAGCATTTTGATTTGCTGCAGCATTTTGATTATTTTGGAGATGGCATTTATCTCTAAAGCTCTCAGAACATAACTCACTGTATTTAACTTTCTGATGTTTCCTCCTTTATCTTATCTAAGAGTATATTTTTCTGTTCTTTCAAAGTGAATTTTGTACTGACGGCAATAGTATGCCCACTTGCTTCAGAGCAAATGGCAGCAAGGTTATTCAAATGCCCTCGAACAGAAACAAATTAACATTTCTGGTGCTTCAGTTCAGGAATGCAGTGAAGTCAGACGAGTCATTCAGTGTTTTCATAGAAGGCAGAACATAGTCTGCCCTTTTGCCAGGCTGTCCTGAGCTATGGGAGCTACTGGTACTAGCTTCATTCTCTGCGTAGGGCTGATTTCATCTATACTTGCCTAAAATGTTGGTCTCGATGTAATTTGATCATCTACCGTTGTCTGCCTGGATAAAAAATTGCTTTTATGGGAATTCTATCCATTCAAATTCAGGTGTGTAAAAATCTGAAGCTGTTTTTGGAGAGTTGTCTTGTTTTTCTTTTTTAAATACTATCTGTCAGGATAATGCTAATAATATTAGCTTTTGGGTAGCTAAAGTTAACAGTGATCTATATACCCTTTCATACCTTATTTCATCTGAGTGCTACATGGCATAAGGGTGTCAGTTATGATTGTTTCTTCTTTGACATACTCATGCTATTGTCCTCTATTTACTATTTATCTTATCCTCTAATTTACTATCTCTATTTACTATATAAACTATAATCTATTCTATGCCCATAAACTATTGTATTAATTTCAGGTTACAAATTTTATTGCCAGAATTTTAGAATACATTAAATTCCAATATCATATTTATTGTAAATGAAATATTTTACAGAAATGTTCATATATCTGGACAAGATTCACTGCTGAAATGTAACTTCACATTAGCTTGCTCCTTGCAAATGAAAATCATGTGACTAAAAGTCTTATTATTTTGATCCTGTGCATGCCCATGCTTGCACTGTAATTCAGATCATTGGCACACTTTCAAAGAAAACTTCAAGATCATCACTATCTCCTGCACTTTTCTAAATTTTCATGCCTCTTTTGTACTTCTCTCCAGACTGATTGTTCTTTGTTTCATAAGACTCTTAATCCCTGAGTGCTCAGCTCAGTTCAGCTGGTGGCATTCTTGCCCTCCTGGCATGATTAATCAGTTTGGAACAAATGTCCCCTAAAAATGTTTGGGACATTTCACTCACACATGTTGTGCTCACATTCCTCTTTCTCAGCTGTTCTTGTTTGGGGCATTTTGCAGTAGGAGATCCATGTGGATGTCTTTCCCAATCATCATATCGTTATTTAAAGGAAAACAGGTTAATAAAGTCAAGAACCAAGTATTATTACAGCCAATGTGTTTCTGTTTCATTATGTGGAAAGGAAAAATTGTTATTTGTTGTCTATATTCAGCACTTGCCATCCTTTCTTTGTTGCCTTAGGATAGTGAGAAGGGCTTCCATGTCCTATTAAAGTCCTCATCAATGGATTTTCAGTTCACAGACTGTCCTATTAGTCGTACTATACAGAAAAATGGAAAATATTCTTACTGCACTTAAGAACATGTGCTTACAAGGCACAAAGTATAATCTAAAAATAAATCTGCATTCCTGATTGTTTAGGACATAGGAGTCACATACAAATAAAGTGTTCTGAAATTTTCATAGTGGTTACAGGAAAATAATAAAAAATAAAAATCTGTTAGTGTTGCATGTTTCTGGGCAAATAGTTGCTCCTTGCCTGAACTTCCTGAAATGTCTTTGAACAAAAAATTTGATCCAGTATACAGAACATGAAAGAAAATATATCCTCATCAAGAAAAGAGAGACTTATGATTTCAGTTTTTGTCATGTGGGACTGACACTTTACCTTGATGCTTAGTTTTTAAATAAAGAAAAATTGCTCTTGCAATTAATAAGAATCATCAGAGAACTGTTGAAACAAACAAACAAAAATCTTAATTTGTCTAACATCATATCTGCACTGACTGCAGTTTTACTCAGTCACTTTTTAGTTCATTTGGAAAGAATTCAAAATCACAAATATCAACCAGCTTTCTCTTGATAATGCTAAAAGAGCTGAAACGTGTTTAGGCTCTGAATATTAATTACTGTGCTGCTTTAAAGGTTACAACAGTCACTTTCTCCCAGGGAGGTCATAGTTCAGATTGAATAAAAGCTTAATTATAGAATATTATAGAAAATTGAAGTAAACTGAGACAAACAAAGTCAGCAAGGGGGTTATTCTTTCTTTGACAGTCTTAAAAAGATAATAAAGGCATGTGAAAAAGAAGACAGTTGTTAAATATATAGATAGATAGATAGATTAATAGTTTGTTTCCTTCTTTTTCCTCTTTGGTATAGAAGAGAAAGAAGATGTTACTGCAGTTCTGCCTCCCTTGCTTCTCACTGTTAGAGGTTTTTGTTGTTGTTTTGTATGAAATCCATATCAAATGCTATTTAGCCATAAAGTTATGATTCATATATTACAGTAATTGTATAAAATGTTTTTTTTTTTAAGAAATACAGAACAAATGAAACATTTATTGACATTAAATATCAATTAAAGTTGCTAATTAAATGTGATTTTTTTTATATGCAAGGTAATACTTTTCATTCATTTATGGCTGATCTTACAAGTAGAAATTTATGAATTTATGTCACCATAATGTAGTCTATATGATGCTATAAATTTAGAGTTTACTTCTTTATGTGGCATTACTTTTATATACTGAGGCTGGATTTGCATCTCATTTTAGAAATTTTATCATAGAAAACATTATGGAAATGCATCTGTGAATGTTCAACACATACGATTTCTTCTTTTCTTTCACCTTCTTTTCCACTTCCTCCATTTTCAGTCATTTAATTACTCAAACTTAGTGAACTTCCTTCCTTCCTGTCACTGAAAAGAACCTTCAAACAGTACAAAGAAATCTGTTTCCCTTTGCCTATATTTGTATGTATCACAAGGACTTTTTTCCTTGGGGTCTTTGGTCTCCTTCCCCAACAGGCCAGAAGACATTGGCATGGCAGGCTGAAGTGGCTCAAGACTGCAGATGGTCAATCTCACTTCAAACTGCTCCAGGAGTCTAGATCTCCTGAGTTGTGAGGCCTTCTGGCTAGTTTTCTGAAATGATAGCTTGTAAACGTTAGTAACTGAGTCCCTTCTTTTGACCTGATATGTAGCTGTCAGCGGAACCTAACTCAGTAATATCCACCTGAAAACATCCATTTCATGTAAGATATTTCTTATAGACTATTGACTTCCAGTTGTCTGACAGTGAAAGTCTGTGGGAGTTAAAGAGTGTAATTGTAAGTACATGACTTGATGCGGTAATTGTGATGTAACACAAGGTCTAGACTGTGAATGATAGGCAGTGTGGCTAATGTTTTTCATTAGTTGGTTTCAGAAAAACAAATTAATCTTGGTCCTAGTCTTTTGGTCATTTCGTTCTATGCAGCAAGAGAAGCAGCAAATGTGTTATTCTTTGTTTCTAAAATCTGATCAGTACAAGAACAAAAAACAGCAGCACAGTTTTTCCTGCAATTTCCAAGGAAAGAAACAAAACCTGATTAGTTCAGATAAAATCTCCGTACTAATGGCTGAATTGTTCACAGTTTACTTGCTGTCTTCCTAATAAAAACCCTTTGAAAAATTTGAGTGTGAATTTTTTTGTCATTGTTTCCTGTTTCTTATACTATTTTCTTCCTTACTTTCTATTTGTGAGCATGTCCATCCTTATCAAAAGTAGAGTGATTTGTAGAGCTATGTAGGTCAGGAGAATGCTGGTCCAGGTTATGAAGCATTTAAATGAATGTGTTAGGGAGCATTGTTCTTAGTGGAAGATTTGGTGTATGATTTACTGCTGTGTATTGCCTTTACTGAAAAACAATTTCCTAAGCTTTTGTACCTTAATAACATACAGCTATTAAACGTTTAATATCATCAGTCTGTATATTTTCATTGAAACTATGTTATTTCAGAAAAAGAAAAATAATGATTTTGCACAAATAAAACCTTTGCAGCAGAGCAAAACAAACCAAAATCAAACAGCATACAGAATTGTTTCTACTGCCTGTGCTGGAGACATTTAACTACGACTGTAACCTTTAAAAAAAGGGGGAAAAAATAGCCCAGAAGATGAAAATATGAGAATATGTGTTGTGAATGTGTGGATATCCTGCAGCCAATTCTGTGCCTGGTGAACTAAAATTATCCCTTTTTGCCTTATAGGTTTTTTAAGTACTGGGGACCAAGCTGCAAAAGGCAATTACGGATTGCTTGACCAAATCCAAGCTTTGCGTTGGATAGAAGAAAATATTGGATCTTTTGGAGGAGACCCAAAAAGAGTTACTATTTTTGGATCTGGGGCAGGAGCTTCCTGTGTCAGTCTTCTGACACTCTCTCACTATTCAGAAGGTAAGGATCTTCTAAACAAAGTGTACAGTAATGGAAAAATGATTCGTTTGTAAAACAAAGCAAAATAAAACAGAATATATATATATATATATATATTCTTCATTTTTAAATAGCCATATCAAGTAGACAGAATTATACTACATCTGTAATTTTTGTAAAATACCCACTATTTATTGTTCTAGATTTGTATTTGGAAACATAAACATTCTTGTCTACCCTCTCAACATGTATTTAGTTTATTTCCTTACTTAATAGCAACATAACTCAAAGTTACTCAAAAAATTTATGTAACTCCCCACAGTTATTACGGGATCCTACACAGAGTTTTTAAGATTTTGGCAGAATTTCTACCCTGCAAAAAAAAACAAAAAAACAAAAAACAAAACAAAACAAAAAAAAAAAAACCCAGCAAAATACAAAGAATATATAGAACTAGTACCATATACATAATTTTCTCTGAAAGTAATGCTAATATAATAAAATAGGAAGCATTATTTTCAGTGTAGCCCTCACAGATACCTCTTGGTAACACCAACACTGCAAAAAAAATTATAATAGAAGACAAAAAAAATGCTGTGGTTTCACACTGGTGGGAAACTATGCTCCACTGCACCATTCTCACTCACACTCATCAAGTGAAGACAGAGAGAAAATGTGATGAAAAAAGCTTATGTGTTGAAATAAGGACAGGGAGATCACTCACCAATTACTTTCTCAGGCCAAACAGACTTGTCATAAGTAGACTAATGCAATGTGTTTTATTTTGCTAATAACAGACTAGAGCAGTGAGAAACTAAAAAAACACCTTCCCTTCATCCATCCTATTCTGCCTCCTCCCTCTGTGCAACACAGGAGAATTAGGAATAGAGACTGCAGTCATTTTATAGCACTTCATCCTTGCCACCCCTTCATGGCCACTCTCAGCCCCTGCTCCACGTGGGTCTCTCCCACAGCACTGTCCTTCCTGGACTGATAACCTTGTCAAAAAAGCCCAATACAATAAAATATCTATCATATTCATAACACCATGCTACTACTATCATACAGAAATATATGGAAGAAGGCTCAGCCCTAGCAAGCCATTGTAGGAGGATTGGTGGTAAACACATCCTATTTGGAAGCACATAGAATTATTCCTGACAATTTAGGATAGTGACACAATAGCATGCAGTAACGGTTGAGTAAGCCCTGCCAAAAACAAGCAGATGGAACAATGGAAAGCCTAACCAATGACATCACTGAAATTTTGTGATATGTGCAGTAAGTTGTTATCACCAAGGGTTTATTGGTCTCAGTCATTTTTCCTTGTAAACGCTTCAAGGTCTTCAAATGCTTTTATAACTCTTGCTGTCTTTGGCATTTCAAGAGTTTGACTGTAGAAATCTTGTGTAGAAGAGGCCCCAGCATTTTAATTTAAGTATACAGTAAGTCTTTTTACTGACTTCACCAGGAAAAAGGAGGTGAGGCAGATCTTCCAGTAAGCTCCAGTTGCTTTTCAGTGCTTTGTTGTCACAAAGAAGCTCTTCAGTCCTAGTCTCTGTTTGCTCTGTATATTAATACATCTAAAACAACTACAAGGAACTATTTATTTTTGTCTTATATTCTTCCAAAATATGCAAACATATTTTAATTCACAATATAGGTAGTACTTACACTACACACAATCATATATATATATATATATGAATACTCCTTATGTATATATAGTTCAAGGTGGTAATGAAAAATGATGTCAGAGGAGAGGGCTTAAGATTATTAAATTGATTTTAGCAGAGCACATTTTTTTGTATTAAATGATGCATGGCTTCTGTGAAAGAAATGAGTGTGTGTAATTTTTGTTTGACCTTTAAACTACTGAAGAGTGCATTTATGAGAGTCATCGACATAGCAAAGAAGATATTATTGCTTGTAGCTGCCACTCCTTTACAGAAAATTTTTACAGGACTACCACTGTGCTAAAATCAGAGGGCTTCCATTAAAGAAAAAGAAAACTGCAGTACAAGCATTAGCTTTATTCTTGAAACAATAATCTGAAACCTTAATTCTTTCTCTATGTGAGCAACAAGAACAAGAGAGATTTAAATTGATAGCCTACTACAGACACTGTAAAAAGGAAATAGTGAAAAAATTATATGCAAATTGAATTGAAATATAGGAATATGCGTTCTTTAGTCAAAAGCATTCTTTGCTTAGTGAAAGCTGCTTTTAATTTTATTTTATTTTTAATATAATTTGATTTGCATTTAAACAATTTGCACCTGCAGGTTTGTTCCAAAAGGCAATCATACAGAGTGGAACAGCCCTGTCCAGCTGGGCAGTGAACTATCAGCCTGCCAAGTACACTCGGATATTGGCAGATAAAGTCGGCTGCGACATGCTGGATACCACTGATTTGGTTGAATGCCTTCGGAATAAGAACTACAAAGAACTCATTCAACAGACCATCACTCCAGCCACGTACCACATTGCCTTTGGCCCTGTGATAGATGGAGATGTGATTCCAGATGACCCTCAGATTCTCATGGAGCAAGGCGAATTCCTTAACTATGATATAATGCTGGGTGTGAATCAAGGGGAAGGTTTAAAATTCGTGGATGGCATTGTAGACAATGAAGACGGTGTTTCTCCTAATGATTTTGACTTTTCTGTCTCTAATTTTGTGGACAATCTATATGGTTATCCAGAAGGAAAAGATACACTCCGAGAGACCATTAAATTCATGTATACGGACTGGGCAGACAAGGAAAACCCTGAAACAAGACGAAAGACCCTGGTAGCACTTTTTACTGACCACCAGTGGGTTGCTCCTGCTGTTGCCACTGCTGATCTGCATGCCCAGTATGGATCTCCAACGTATTTCTATGCATTTTATCACCACTGCCAAAGTGAAATGAAACCAAGCTGGGCTGATTCAGCTCATGGTGATGAAGTCCCTTATGTGTTTGGCATTCCTATGATTGGCCCAACAGAATTGTTCAACTGTAACTTTTCCAAGAATGATGTCATGCTCAGTGCAGTTGTTATGACATACTGGACAAACTTCGCCAAAACTGGGTAAGTTTGACCTCTAGCATTCCTTCTTGTTGATAACACGCTCCTAAAATAGTCAAATTACCATAGCAGTGCCTCCAAGCCCGTATTGTGACTTACGATTATAGCACTGTTTAGTATTGTGAGGCACTATGTAACTTGGGGTTATTCATATTTAATAGATTTTTAATTAGTGTGTTCCTGCAAACTATTTTCTTTCAGTAGCTCAGTGAGAAGAATAATGCACTGTATTTTTGATTCAGAAATAGGGCAACTATTAAGAAAAAGCCTTTTTTAGAGAAAAAGCAGCTCACTAAGATACTGAAAAATCAGAGGAAATGTATTCTATCAGAAGAAAGAACAGTCAGGCAGATAGAGCTTATGTCTTAGAAAAGTAAGGAAGTTGTTTTCTTTTTAGTGACCTTCATAGGAATGGGAGCTCAGAGAAAAAATGAATCAGAAAGGCAGACACTGGAAAGTTTTTTTTTTTCCCTCTGTAGGCTGTAATGGCCATAATGAATAGTGGGCTGGGATGAAGAAAAGACTCAGATATAAATTTTGCTTTGAGAAGGTTAAAAAATTCAAGTTAATTCTGCTTACAAAACAATACATCAATACATCATTACAAAAAAAAATACATATTTTGCGGAAAAAGAATTGTAGACATCAAGGGAAAAAAAAACCCTCAAAGCAGCTTAATCTGTGAGTGCTATTAATAATTTCTCTGGTTTCTATATCATTCCTCTAAATATTATTGTGGTATTTTACTTGTACAGCAAGGGCTTTTTTGTTGACCTTGAGTCTTCAGTACTGAACAAAGATACTTATGGCACAATGTTGCTGTAAATCTTTCCATGCTTAGTGGCAGGATTGGACTCTGAAAATTACAGCTTTACTGCAGTGCAGTGAGTAGTATGCAGCATTATAAAAAAAATTCAGAGATGCCCATTGTGAAACATACAGCTCTTAGCAATCTTTAACATATCAAGATGATGTTCAAGGCAGAGACATTTTGCAGTCGTAACAAAAACCTTGATTATTAAAACACAATCAAATATTTCAGCTCACTTTACAAAGCAAAAGAAAACTTTTGCTGTATTGCATTTTAGACAAGTTGGTACTTTCGAATGCAGAAATCCCATAGCACTGAAGCAAAAGCAAATGAACTGTGAAATATTTAGATGTATGTGGAAACAGTAAGACATCAGTTGGATGATTGGGGTAGACAAACTGGTGAAAGCTTGGCTTACGACAAATAATGCCACATGTTGACTGTAGTGAACATTCAAAAAGAGTATTTTATCATTATTTTGTTTTTGTATGGATTAAGTGTCACGTGTACATAGAGGACATAAGATTCTTGCAAATGTGCAAGATTGGAATTATTACAGAGATCTCCATGTTCCCACTGTTAGTAACAATTTCTTTATGATTATTCCCTGTACAATAAGTTGCATCTAAACATCAAACTGCCATTATTACTCATAGTTGCAGGCACTTTGCAGCTGTTTCTACTTGAAAGCTAATTTCAGCAAGCTACACTTACCATCACCCAGCTATGAACCCATGTCTTAGCCTTTTCAAAACCTTGATTCTAGCTTAGCCTAGAAATAGGGAAGTAATTACAGAGCAGGTGAGATAAACTAGATTTGGGATATAAAAATTGCATGAATATATGGCTTTTGATTCCACTGTGGAAAATTATATGTGAGAGCTTCATTAAGAGGTGCACTTAAAGCTTCACTCTGCTGTCAGTAGTACTATCCTAACAGAAATTGTAATTTTATATGCACAAATGTTCTGTTAGTTAGGGCCATGTTATACTCCTCGCAAATACATCAGCAGAGGGAGGGAGGATGATGCAAGGGGATGTCTGCCAGCCCTTAATGGATACTCTGAAAGTGACACTGTTATGAAGAAGGATTTGCAGTTTCACAAAGTGGATATGAAACTATGTTCTCAGAGACATTTATCAGGTTTCTAAAAATTACCCTCTTTTGAGTACTTGAAGTACTCTGAATCTTTGTTCACACTTATCCATCTCAAGTCAGCTGTGGGAAAGATATAGGCCTAAAGAACAAATCCTGAATTTCTTTGTAATTCGGAGGAATACTCCTGAATTATTTTACTGTCACTGATTCTGAAGCAAAATGTTAACTGAGTTATTAAGGATATCTATTCAGTTTGGCTTTTTAAAGGAAGACGTAATTAAACTTACAAAGAATAAATGTATTTTCAAATAAATCCTCTGGGAACGTCTTTATGAACCTTGCATTTCTTTAGATGTTTTTCTCTGAAGGAATAAGGGTTTTCAATAGTGAGTCTGTTGGTCAGATGAAACAGAGTATTTATGCGTTGCTTTCCTCAGTAGCTCATAGCTGATTGGAAGTATGGCAACACTGGAAACAGGTAGAAGTGAGGGAAGGAGATATGGACAAAACCATGATTGTGTAGCAGTGTTTCAGGGAGGAATGACAACACCATTATTATTACTGAAACAACTTGAAAAATCAGGGAAAGCGTGAAGAAACTCTACATAATTTTTTGTTTGTTTGTTTGGTTGGTTGGTTTTTTTTTTTTTAGTATGTTGAAAGAAGACTGCTTAAGGAAAATAAATTACCAGTAGGCCTTTCAGTGGCTTGGAAGCAGAATCATTGTGTAACTGTCAAGACATTTTACTCTGTGATGAAGTAAAAAAATGACACCAAAAATGAAATGCATTAATGTAACAATTCCATTATGGTGACTAATAGTTAATGCTCTTGCAAAATTACATAAAAGAAAAATGTCATTTCAACATTTTTGGAATTCTGGATAATAGAAAATTTTCTAACGTTTCTCAAAATTCTTCTGTGCCAACATTACCAGACATGAAATAGAGTTCCCTCATTTGCCCTACATGTCACCTACTAATTCTTGTGAACAGGAATGTGTGCTACTCTTCAGTCAGAATTTATTGCAGACACATTTACTTCATAGCACTTGAGAAAAAAAAACGTACATTTGTAGTCCATAAGGTGAGAATTTAATGACAATAAACTGCAACGTGTTAAACTGAGCAAAGCAGTGCAGGTTGAAAGTGGCGAAAAGAAAGTGATAGGTGAAGTCAGATGATTTTGCATTTTAATTAAAAAAAAAATGTAAGATAAAATAAGAAAGATTGTCATGTATATTTCAGACAAGTTCATGCATTTCATGATAGGAACATTTTCAGGGGTAGAATCTGTTTGAACTCTATAAATTATGAAAACAAATCATCAGAGGGAAAAAAAGAGCAACAATGAACTTTTTTTGTTCTAGCAATAGGATAAATAAAGAAAAACAAATAAAAAATCCTAACAACAAAAAATATTCTTCCATATCAACCCTTGAGATTGGGAACCAAGCTATGCACTGTAGATTTGTTACATGAAAAGGTATAGAACTGAAAAAGTATTCAGATTATATTTTTATCATTATAATTAGAATGTGTTTTAAAAGGAAAATCTCCTATCTCCTTTTGTTCTGTAACTACACACTGGAGCCACATGAGAGTCCAGAAACACCAAAGTGACGTGAGAGGCTAAAAAAAAAGAAAACAGAAGTTACAGTTAATGTAGCAGAAAAAAAGTTTTTTGAACTTTTGCAGAGAAAAGTTTTTTGAACAGCTAATTGGATAGGAGTAAAGACAGTATCTACATAGGTCACTCCAAAAGTAATGCCTCTTGCTTATTTGCATGGAAACTACAACAGATGCAAAGAGCACAGTAACACTAGCAGATTCTCAGCTACAAAACGCTCTTTTTTGACAGTCACTACTCTGATGTAGTGTGATGTAATGTGATGAGTTGATTGAGATGCTGTGCATTTTGTAGCACGTCAGTTGTGCTTGACCATTCAGAATATGGCTTCCCTTTCACACTATCACCATGGCTGAAATGTACCATCCACCGTTTCACTATGTTTACATCCACTGTTTGGTCTCCAGAAATATTCAGTGAGCATCAACGAGTGTCAATGTGTACCATTTTTAATGCATGGAGGAATTCAATGACATGTCATGTCAGAAGCCTTTTTGTCAGACTGTCTCTCTGCTGCCATACCACCATCATCTACTACTGATATTTTGAGCCAATATGACAAAATAAAGGCATCACTTTTGGAGCAGGCTTTGTACATCTATATTTTATGGCTATCCACAGTACTAGAAACGTGGTTTTTTTTAATAAGATACTGGAAAAAAATATTTATACTAAGATAAACTGTTTAACATCACCAGGAAAGGACTCATCATGTCATAACTTGTAAAGTTATGATGTTATGAAATATCACCAGTGAGCATAGAAGGAGGGACAAAATAAAAATTTTCTTTACATCCACAGGATGATTGTGGTAAGTTATCTTACTATGTACTAGATCCTTTAGCTAGAACTATATTTAGTCATTTTCTTATGAAAAAATTATTTAGGTACCTATCTTCCAAATTCAGTTACACAGTATTTAGACTATCTACTCAATTATTGATTAACCCTAGAATTGATGCCAACAATACAGGTTAGTATCAGCTCACAGGCAGTGCTTGTATTTAGGACTGATGGCCTTTTTCTGTTCTTTTTTTTTTTATTGGGGGTATTTCATGCTATCACAGGACCCTGTAAACAAATCCCGGTATATAAGACTAGTCTCATGTATCTGTAATTTTCCCTCTTGTATTTGGAGGAGGAGTCAGTACAAATCAGTATTCCTAATAGATAGTTAAAAAGGAGACATGGAGTTACCAAATAGAAGAGCAAGAAAAGAAAGGAAGGTTAATAATTATATATTCATAGCCTGTTTCTAGAGGAAGAATGTTCATTTCAGAAAGTTACTTGCTAAAATCATTATCTGCATCATTCGTATATGGACACTAAAAAAAAGTCTAAACATTTTGGTAATTTCTCTTTTGATAAAGGTCAACTTCCTTTTACCTTCAGTGAGTCCTGGATTCTTCCTTCCTTTTTTGTAATCTATTCACGAGAAGAGGGAAGGGATTAGAAACAAAGTGTAGTTAGCTGAATTACTGAACTTCTTCATCTCCTCTCCTATGAATGAAGTACAACTCATTTACATGAGCTAGTTTAATTTACGTCTTATGTAGGATCCTTTCCAGAGTCTGTGAATCTGCAAGTCTGTTCTGAATCAGAACAGCAAGAGGGAAGAACACAAGGGGGATTTTGCTGTAACTCTTCCAGGATTTTGAGTGTCTGAAAGAAAAATCCTTTGCATTTTAATAATCATGTTGATTTTTTTGTTTGTTTTAGAATTCATGTGTTGAGCCCAAATGCACTGTGGCAGATATATTGTGCTGGGCCAATATCTTGCCTTTTGAATTTACTAAATACTTCACTGTGCTCTTTGAGAATAGAAGAAATACTTTCATTCCCTTCTTAAATGCATGTTAAAATCCCTCAAAGTATCAGCATATTAAAATGAAATGCCTCAGTACTTGGAAATCAATATTTTTTTTCAAGCTTCAGCCACAGTAAAAATAAATTACTATTTTCAGAATTTACAGAATTTATATAAAATAATAATAATAATAAATAGCTACCATTCTTGAACTCTTAGTTTATATCCTATTGAGATGGGAAATACTTTATCCAGTATAATATGGAAAGCCACATACATAAACAAAACAAAGTACTAAAATTATGCAAAAAATGAATTATTTCTTCAACTTGAAAAAGGAAAAAAAGTAGTTCAAGTAAACAGAGGAATGAAAGAATCATAAGATTATTAAAACCAAATTACAAGTCCATTTTGAGAACGGTTAAGGAATAGATCTTTACGAACAACAAAGGAGCACTAAATTCAGCAATCGTGCTCATGAGCCTTTGGAAACAGAAATGAAAAAAAAATAATGCTTTACAATATGTAACAGTAGTTCTTCGTATTCCCATGATATTCATAACAATATATTGGAAGAAAAGGAAAATATTAGAATCATTTTCACTGGAAATAAACTAATGCATATGGGAATGGAAAGGAGAATGGAAAGTTTTCAGAGCAGTGCACAGAAAATGAATCATATGCTCTCAGTAAAATATATTACAAAGTCTCTGAAAATATGCTTTACTGCTAGAGAGGATTAAAACTAATGTAGGTCATAATAGTAAACTAATAGGTTTATTTTAAACTCTTTATTTGTTCACGCCCAGAGAAAGTTATATTTATCTAAGTAAGGCTTGCCAAAATTATAAGGATATGTGTACGTTAACCACATTTAAATACCTGTTGTGCTACAGACTCGTCTTTATTTTGAATCTTTATGAAAGAAAAAAATGAGCAAAAAGAAGAAACATAATTGCAGTAAAATATTTGGGTTAAGTAAAATTCAGTACAATAACAAAAAAATAATAAAAATTTTTGAATTCAAATATTTAATTGCAATTGTTTTTAAAAGTTACTACTTAGTTAACTAATATAAAATTTATCAGCGAATGTAGGTCTTATCCGTAGGAGCTGGGACAAAACTACAGCTCCTAAACCTACATATAGTTCCTTGTGCACTGAACACTTAATGCAAAATGCAAATTATGGAATGATTTGTGGCAGAGAAATAGTTCAAAGCATTTATCCCAAAGTACATATCTGAACAAAGGGGTATTAATAGCTCAGTAAAGGAACACAGGGACAAGTTGTACCCAATTACCTGTATTTGCCCTGATACTTTGTGTCTTGAAGCTCTGTGTAACACACGTTCATTATAAATTTTCATGATCACATGGATTTTCAATATTTTCATAGAGATTAGATGCCTAATTACAACAGTGGAAGTAATGGTATAGTAACTGAGAATGTTGATGTCAAATCTTGAGAAGAATTGAGCCTAAACCTTTACAAACTATGGGAGAAGATAATTAATACTTCTCTAAGACTAGTGTATGTGACTGCCTCACAAAACTCCAGATGAGCTTTTGGTAACTGAAACACATCCTTTTTGTTTGTTTGTTTTCATTCAAGAAAGAATTGTTGAATCTGAGATACATTGTACAGTAAGTATTTAGACTTCTGTTTACATAATAACATTCAGGGTAAATGTTGGGGAGTTTTCTAAGCTTCTCTTTTTGGGTTAAGTGTAGGATTAATCCTTAACTAAGGGGCAGAGTTTTGTTCTTGTTGTTGCTGCTCTAAAATGACTATAACGTTGCTTTTTATTTTTGTAGAGATCCAAACCAGCCTGTTCCACAAGACACAAAGTTCATCCACACAAAACCAAACCGCTTTGAAGAAGTAGCCTGGTCCAAATACAATCCTAAAGATCAGCTTTATCTGCATATTGGCCTGAAACCCCGAGTTCGTGATCACTACCGAGCAACAAAAGTTGCTTTCTGGTTGGAGCTTGTGCCACACCTTCACAACCTGAATGAAATTTTTCAATATGTTTCCACAACAACTAAAGTACCCCCTCCTGACATGACATCATTTCCTTATGTTACCCGACGCTCTCCTGGTAAATTGTGGCCAGCCACCAAACGCCCAGCAATGACACCTGCCAACAATCCCAAACATTCAAAAGACACTCATAAAACAGCTCCCGAGGATACAACAGTTCTGATAGAAAACAAGCGAGATTACTCCACTGAGCTGAGCGTCACCATTGCTGTGGGAGCATCCTTGCTGTTCCTCAATATTTTAGCTTTTGCTGCATTGTATTACAAGAAAGACAAGCGGCGTCATGAGACTCACAGGCGCCCTAGCCCCCAGAGGAACACAACCAATGACATCGCACACATACAAAATGAAGAGATCATGTCATTGCAGATGAAACAGCTGGAACATGACCATGAGTGTGAATCACTGCAGGCCCATGACACGCTGAGACTAACCTGTCCACCTGACTACACGCTTACTTTGAGAAGGTCTCCAGATGACATTCCACTCATGACTCCCAACACCATAACCATGATCCCAAATACATTAACAGGAATGCAGCCTTTGCATACTTTCAACACCTTCAGTGGAGGACAAAACAGTACGAATTTGCCCCATGGACATTCAACTACTAGGGTATAGCTCAGCCCTTCCCCCTCACAAGCCACCTGGAAGAAAGAAAGAAAGAAAAAAAAAAAAAAAAAGAAGAGGAAAAAGTTATAATACCATTCATTGAACACCTTGTCCAAATATTAAGTAAAAACAAGTAAAAGAGAAGGACAGACATTATTTTCTTACTGTTCCTTCCCAAAGAAACTCTATGATGTTAAAGATCAACTATAAGCCCTGTGAAATGTGAAAAGTGTACACTGCTGTTACAATACTGCTTTAAGATCTCAACCCCTTTAATTGAAAGTTGAGGCCAGAAGAAGTCACTTAAAATGATGTTTTGAGCATACCGAGCAAAGCAGACTCTTCTGAAACACAGAGCCACTGACTGTACAGATGTTCTGGTTTTGGTTTCTTGTTTTTGGTTTTGATTTGGTTTTGGTTTTGTTTTTTTTTTTTTTTTTTGGTTGGTTTCTTTTTAATAAATAAAATAAAAAAATCTTTATGTGCCATACAATGAATAGCCCTTGTTGAAACAAAGACATCATCATGGGCTTTTACCCAGCATATGAAGCTGTAATCCAGATGGGGGAAATAGAATTTTATTATTAATAACAAAAAATGGGAAAAAATAAAAAAAAGAGGAGGACTGACTATGCAGTAAAATACGTATAGTTCTGTGCACAGAGGTGACTTGCCAGCCTGAACTATATTTAAAGAAACTTTGTAAAAATGTACATAGATGTGCGTTTAAAAACAACTACAAAAAAAAAAAAAAAAAAAAAAAAAAAGCTTTTATTGATGTTTTCAGTTTGAAAAGAGCTTTTAGAAAGATTGTGCATTCAGTTGTGACCTATGTGTATATACATTAGTCATATCACCTCTGTTTCCTCCAAGGCCAAAGGAGGATTTTCTTCTTAATTACTAGTGGTAAACAAAAAACATGAGGTTTTTCTAACATTTCATTTATATGAGGCCATGGTGTCATGCAGAGGATAAAGTTGTCTGTGTGACCTGCATATTTTCTCTTACAGGTTACACTAGTGCATGTTAAAGTATTCATAGGAGATTGCTGTTCTTTTCTGAAACATTTTTTTTTTTTTTAATAATTTAATTTTGTGTTAGCTTTTGTTAAATTGCAACACAGCAATGGATATGAAAATGGAAAATAGTAGAAAACAAACAAACAAAAAAATTACTTTCATAAGCTTGTTGAACTGAACCAAGAGACATCCAAAAATATATGTTCAAAAGTCCAGTTTGTAGTTCTTAGTTATTGGGATAAATTAGGAAGTTTTGTGCCCTGACAATAGCAACAAAAGACCCTGTTTATGTTAGCATTTTCTGGGCAAACATAGCTCTATATTCACCAGCAGTTGCAGAGGGATCTCAGATGAGAAAATACCTCCTCAGCTTTGGTAAACTACAGAAAAAGTGAAATTTGAAAGAACTTCTCTGTCCACTATTCTGTTTTGCACTTGAGGAAAGAATCTTCCTGTCAGAAAATACTTTGCTGCTTTATTACACAGCAGTGCCATTGTTAGTGAAAATTATGGAAACAGAAGCAAAGTCATCAGATGTTATGCATCTGAATGTAATTTCAAATTCTAGATAACATTATTGTCAGGAAAGTCAAAACTCCTGGCTGATTATTCCCTTCTGCCCTTCCTTCACCAGGAAGAGCCTTGCAGCGCTATCAAACATGGAACTTAGCAATTTGATTCAAACAACTGAATTGAATGTGAAAAGCTAAAAAAGAAGTTCTCGCAGATGAAGATCGCTTTGTATTTTGTCTTAGAAATTTACTGCGTCATCAAGAGATCGTAACCAAAGATATTTGAACAAAATTGGTCTGCACTTGAACGTGGTTATCCCAGATGTATTTTGTATTATAAATTCATGACTAAGCTGCATCAATACCATATGTCCCATAGTAATCTAACACAGGATGCCTTGTACCTCTTTTTGTTTTCAATACTTTTTTTTTTTTTTTTTTTTTTTTTTTAATAAGACATCTTGGAACAGTCCTGGTGAATAAAGGTGACAAAGTGATTCACTGAAGTCAGTACAACTCCTTGTTATAGCATGCAGTAAAGCAGATTCTGAAGGAAAGAAATAAAAGGAAAGTTAATTATATGACAAAAATGCAACATGTGGCTGATATAATCCCTTACCTGTAATAAATGTACTATTACCTGACCTGGATGCTCAGGTTGGAATGTGATGAAGCAACAAGCCCAAAGTACAAGTCATAGCATATCGAAAACTGCCTTTTTCACTGATCCATCACATAATATTGATTAATGCTGACCTTAGACCAGACCATTTCCACTACCTATGTGATGCCTCAGCCGAGATGAAGCAGTTCATAACTCTTAAAATAATAATTAAAAAAAAAAAAAAAGTAAAAAAGAAAAAAGGTATTGATGCTTGGCATCATAATCAGTTGGGTATGTTTGTAATGTGAATTACAGTATTTGTTTAGTACTTCCAATTGTCTTCTGCTAGCAATATGTACAGTACTGTGTCAGGCTTGTGACATTTGGGTAAAAAAAAAAAGTTCCTGTAAGTGAATGATTTTAGCTTTTAAAAGTAATTGCAATCAAGTTGATTTAATAATTCAGTACATCTGGACTGACATATGATTTATAGAGGGAACAGATTTATAGGGTCTTATTAGAATTCTATAATAATAATAACAAAATATACTTTGAAAACTGTAAAAGAAAAGCAAAAGTACTTTCCCAGGCTTATATTCTTGACCTTACGAGGCACGCAGGGTTCAATGGTTTCTTCTGTTATTGTTTTGCGATCTTTTGTTTTTTTGCCTTAAGTAATGATAGAAGATATATATGGCTGGACACATATGTATAAACTTTTCAGCAGCATTTTTAATAATAAATATCACAGTATTTTCTAATGCTTTGTGCAAAGAACTACGTGTTCATCCTTTTTTTTGTAGAAAATCTTTCAGACGTACATTTTCTGCCCCATCTCCACTTCATTATCTAATGTAAATGATGCCTTGCTACACAATACATGAATATTAAAATACCAGAGGTCACACCATTAAGTTAGTATTGAGTTTCTATGGCTTTTCTAGTTCTATAAATATACCAATAAAAGGAAAGAAAGTAAGACAATGAAGACATGAGAATAAACTCCTTATATTTATTATCTGTATGCACTGCAACTCTCATCAAAGCAATGGTTTAATTGTTCTTTTAGTATTTTCTGTAGCACTGAAAAAGAGCTTAGGTAAACAGCTTCCCATGTTAATGTGTAGCTTAGCAGGTGAGAAATATATCTTCCAAACTAAGGTTAAAATGATTCAGAAAATCTAATACATCCAGCCTCCACAAGTAAATATACTTTCATTTCATATGTAAAATTTAGATAAATGACAAGTTTTCTAAGAGATATATGTAGGAGTAGCAACATAAGTTACTCATGTGTAGGGGATTTACATGTATTGCAGATATGTTAATATCATTCTTCCTTCAAAAGTTGACTAAGCAAATATAGTTTGTTCTTTTATGCTATTAAATTCATTTTGTCAATCGGATTTTCCTCCACTGGAAAGGTACATAGACATTTTAGTAATTTTGGCTGGATATTGTTTGCTTTCTGTAATTATTCTGTTGAGTAGAGGTACTAACAATAAGGTTTGATGAATTTTGAGTGTATTATGGAAGAGTATTTGCAAAAAGCAAATTCTGAATGATTCAAATCAGATTTTTGATATGAAAACCAAGCTTTGAGATAGAAACATATTATGTGCCTACTGACTTTATCAAGCAGCTTGAATTTTGAATATTCAATTTGTATATAAAGCTTTTGCAATAAACTGCAGATTTAGAATTGTTCAGCAAATATGTTTAATTACAGGTAAACTGAAATTTCACAGCTTGCGTAGAGATAATTCATACACAAGAAAAGAGGCTATAATTGTGTCATTTCTGTGAACTGTTCACCTTAAATTGCTGGGTGAACTTAATAAATAACCTTTTTTGCAGTTATGGATTTCACATTAAAAGAAAAAAAGCTTCAGAAGTTTCTTGCTAATTAAATATTGTGTTATTTTCATTTTTTGCTGTCTGAGATATAAATCTGCATATTAGTATGTTTCTACTTGCACTTAGAAGTGTGACAATTAAATGACATTTTATACCACATAGAAATCGTATAAGAGAATACCATGATAATTTTGTGCTTGTCTCAAATTTGTAGATACATATCTGTATTATTTAATTAGTGTCAACTGTTTTTCGTATTTTTGTCTACAGCTGTTTGACATCACAAATCTCATCAGCCTGAATCTCTCCAGAGGCCATTAGCAGCTGGTAAAACTGGGATTTTCATCCCACTAGAAATTATGATATTATGCATTTAATATCGTAATGTTTAAAAATATTTCTCATCACCTCAAAATAAGTAAGATACTGACCTTTTATTGAAGCAAATGAAAGATCAGGGAGGGATTTGGAAATGTTTAAATAACTTGCTTGAGCTGTAGTGTAATAAACACCATATCACTTTGGGTTGCAGTTTTGATTCAAAATATTTTGTTTGTTGTTTAGCTATGGCAACCAAGGCTGTCACTCTATTAGTTATGTTTTTGGAAGTTATGCTTTCAGTTTTTTATGGCCCTCTCAGACTAGTTTATCCAAATTTTACTGTGGTAATGAAACCCAGCTCACACAGAAGTGACATATGTAGGTTCCTCCAAAAGTAATGCCTCCACCATTAGCTATGCGTTTTCTCCAATGATTAAAAATCTGTGCAGCCGTTTGGAACATGTCTTGTCTTTCACATCACTGTCACCACTGCTGAAATGTGCACCTCACTGTGCTCACATCCACTACTTGGTCTCCACAAACATTTGGCAAGTGTCAATGAATATTAGTGGGTGGGTTTTTCTTCATGGAGGAATTCAGTTCCATACTTTTCCTTCATCCACACTTCCATGGTGGACGCCATTTTGTCAGACTGCCCTCTACTGCCACAACACCAACATTTGCCTCTGACATCGTGGGACACCATAATAAAATAGAAGGCATTACTTTTGGAGCCGCCCTCATTGTTGCAATCCAATCACAAAATCCAGATCAGACAAAGAGTTTTGTCAGAAGCCAAATGAACTGCAAAGGTAGTTAATGAGAACATACGTTAGTATTGCAATAACTGAAATGTAGAATAAGCATGTAATAAATTAGGTACGTTTGATGTTTTTCAATTGAAAATTGACAAATGTTTACAGTATGTACATTTTCCCGATTTTATTTTCTGCCCCTTTCCCACAAAAAAATACCAATATATTTTCAGCCAGTTCTAGTCATTTCTTGAATATCCACTTACATAAATGAGAAACAAAACTGATGACATCTTTTTGTTTCTTACCCTCAGGTACTGAAAGCATAACATTTTTTTCCACTCCTATCTCTCATCAGGAATTATAGTTTATCCAGATGCTTAAGGGTAGTCCCATTACCCAAATTGCTAGTTTAATAGTAAAGGAAATCCAGACTTAGAACAGACATATATTTACTTAGACCAGCAAGTAGTTATCTTTCTCCCCCACAGCCAAAACATGGCACAAAAATATTGTGAACTTTAAATATGCTTTATTTTAAAGCAGTATCTAATTTCTAGACACCACTTTCTCATCTTGTGATATGTCATGCTTTTATCTCTACCTAACTCACAGTACTTACTCATATCATTCTGTATATCTTATCTCTATTTCATCTATTTCCCTAAGAGATAAAGATGAATTTCTA